TTCCAATCTCTTTCTCTCTGTGTGTCTCTTTCTCTCTCTCTCTCCTTGCCCCCTCTTTCTTTCTCTCTTTGTTTCATTCTTTCTCCCTGTCTGTCTCTTTCTCTCTCTGTCTCTCTAACTGATTCTGATCGCTCTTGCTCTTTCTGGGTTAAAAAAAGTTTTATTTTTGATTTATAGTTATTATGTCTTCTATCTGATTTTGAGTGGGGAATTAATTTAAGGAACTTTAACTGTGCATTAGGTTAGCATAATTATTATCCAAGCATTGGCTGGATCAGGAATAATCCAATTAAGCGAATTAGTGAATCTGAAGGAAAGCATAGATCTGCTTAGTGTGCTAATAGAATATAGGATGTTCCCTAGGCTGGAGTTTGCTACTGGAAAAGATCTAAATAAGCTATTTGAGCCACAGAAAGCCCCCCCGGACCAAGCTTCCTGATGGCCCGGAATGGGGCGTGGCCTAGACACTGACATCACCTTATTCCCTCCCCATGAAGAATAAGCTCCTTGTATATTAGCCTCATCAAAGGGAAGCCCTGTCCTTCTCTCAGGTCTGGTACCTTCTTTCCAGGGCCTGCAGACGACAGGAATCTCGCTTTGAGAACCTTATTCATGAGAGAAGGGCATTGCCTACAAGGTGGGCAGGGGGAGGGGCAGCACAGGGGCTCTCAAAGAGACTGATTCCCCATGAGGTGGTTCCATGACAGGGATGTTGGATCAGTTTAGCAGTGAGATTCTGGCGTGTGTGTTTTTGTGTGCAAATGTGTGTGTATTTAGGCAGGTGTGTGTAAGTGTGCATATATACATGTGACGGGTTACATGGCAGGCCTGGGTGTTGAGAAGACTTTGGTCACAGTCCTGCCTTTGACACTAGTCCTTCAAACTTTCACTGTCTGTCTCGGGTAACTTTTTTTTTTTTTTTTTTGCTAGGCAATGGGATTAAGTGACTTGCCCAGGGTCACACAGTAAGTGTCAAGCATCTGAGGCTGGATTTGAACTCAGGTCCTCCTGACTCCAGGCATTAGAAGTAAAAGGTGTCTCAGAGATCAAGTCTACCTTTTCTCTGTAAAAGGGAAATTTCTGTACCAAGAGTTTCCCACATTGATCAAATCACAGATGTGGACCCAAAAATACGTGTGTATGTGATGTATGTAATTGAGTACATATCTAGAGGCAGTGTGGTATAGTGGATAATGCAACAGAGTTAGAGGCAGAAAAACATGAGCCTAAATCTGGCCACTAACCCATTCCATGCTGATGAGATCACAGATCCTTTGATCCTTCCCACGTCCAGCTATATGTTTATGTGAAAACTTGTGAATCTTTCTAAGATAAAAGACTACCCCTGCGGGGTGGGCACCCGTGATGCGTTCAACGATGTCATAGGTAAATTGCTCTCTGTGATGATGCGTGAAACTGATGAAGTGAATAAATACCGTTTCATTCTTTGAAAAAGTAATTTAACCTTTAAAAATGCAAAGTTTCCTAGGGAACCCTAATGCTCTTGATTGTATTTTTTATAAACGCTGTCAATGACCAATGGATGATTCTTCTGGAGGGCAAAACTGAGGAACTTTCATCAAATAAACTAAAACTTGTCCTGAATTCCCAAACACATGTTCAGCTGGGTAAATACTTGCTGGAAGCTGGCCACAGGGTAGACCACCAGTCAGCCTGGGTCACTCTTCGGAATGGCTTCTCCAGTCTTTCTGTTTGTTACAGTTTCCGGGCATGGTGCAGTGGTAGTTTTATTCTTTTAAAATATTTTTAAATCACCTTCATTTCCAAGCATCTTTCATTCCTTTCCTAGCAAGTAATCTCTTATAACAAAGAATAGAAAATTAAGCAAAAAAATGAAGCAGGTCCAACCTTGCATGTAATGTTCTGCACCCATAGCCCCCTACCTTTGCAAAGAAGGGGAGGAGTAAAGTGCGTTTTCTCATGTCTTCTTCAGGGTCATCCTGAGTCATTACAATTATACAGAGTTAAATTGCAGGTTTTGTTGTTGTTATTGTTGTGGTTGATGTTGCAACTGCCTTTTACACTTCTGTTCATTGGGCGACTGTTTTCCCAGTTATCTTAATTACCACATTACGTATCAGTTCATACAAGTCACAATGACAATGGTAAATGAAGGCTTTAAGCAGAGGCTTAAAAGGAAAACATTGCGTAAAGGGGATGTGGTTTACATCTGGATCCTTGCAGTGACAACAGGTCAAGAACGTTGAAAACAGGAGCCCTGGCGCTGTTCTTTAGGGTAGAAAAGAAAGCAGGTGGGCCAGCACAAAAACCCCCGTCAGCCAAGTTAATTCAGTAGTCTCTGCCCAACCCGTCCCTCCATGCCCAATGCAAACCTGAAGTTCACCACGTGTAACTTTTTGTTCGTTTAACGGGGGAGCCAATTTCACAAACACTTATTATATACCTACTATGTGTGAATTTAGGGGCACTCTGGACACAGAGACAAAACTGGAACTCTCTTTGCCCTCCAGGACCTCACATTCCATTAGAGCATCTGCCATTCATGGCCTTGGGGGGGAAATGTGGCTGCATCAAATCCAATGATTTTGAATAAGTGAGAGGCATTGGATCTATGTCTTGAAATTTAATATGGGAAGAATAGAGATGGTCATGATGGAGTTAGGTACAAACTACATAAAAATTGGTGCTGTGACTTCAGAGTGCCTGGCACA